TTTCGCTAGTTGATGTTGCGTGTTGCATCGATACTTTCATTGGTGACAGTTGGAGTTTACGAAGTGGAGACAAACCAAAGACAAGTAATGTCGAGAGTCCTTCTGTGTAGTAGATCACTGATCTGGTTTCAGTTTTGATTTTCTTTAATTAGCAGCTTGAACCGAGTTCGCGAATGTCATCGTTATTGTGACGACTGACTAACTTATTTAGTTATTTCAAATTATTCCAGTTAAACGTGTTTGATTGAAAGGATTCTCGAATACATTAATATAAATACCTCTAACAATTAACTGAATATGTATTTAATTACAAAGTTTTCAATCTTGAAGTCATTGTATTCTCTTGAAACATCGGGAGATAGAAACATCATCAGTAATTTTTAATTATGCAACTTTGATAACTGCTCATGGTACCTAAGTGTTGTGTATGAAAGCATCAAAACAAAATAAAACTACACGAAATTAAACCTCGTCGATAGTTCGATTTCGCTACTAACTCGAAATTTGAAATTTCTGGAATTTTTCAACGTCTCAATGATAAACGAAAAGATGTCTACTATGCTTGTTCACAGTTGAATTTAATTAACCATGTGCAATTCAGTTCTATCTGCTTCAATCAAATGTTCATTTAGGTATTGACATCAACTCATCCTCAAGCTCACGCTATGGCGAACACATCAGATTAAGATTGAACACAATTGACCCTGCGATTTGCCACGGTGTCCTCTTTTCCCTTATTATAAAACGCGAACAGATTTTTTTCGCTGCTTAAGACGATCCAGGACAGACGGGACAAGATGTTCGGATATAAAATGCCAAACAATATGCTAGGGAAACCACCTAGACCTACTTCAACCCATCAGCGCTGTACATAATTCTGGTTTTGAGTTTTGATTTGTTTAAAAACACTTCTGGGTGAGTTGTCTGCAGCATTACATAAGAGAATAGATGCAGACATTGAATAAAGAATTGGAGGCTGAACGATATTCTTCCTTCTGAAATGTACGAAAATGTAGCCGAATAGCCTGACATGTTTTTCACGAATCTTTTCCATCTCAACGAATTCAATGCAAAAAACCTTTCTTTCCTAGCGCAGTGACACTCATTGATATATTGTACATTGATCGCTCGCTATTGATCAGTATACACGTTGCAATATCGAAGTTGTCATCTTCAGGAGCACCGTCATCTCAAGTTTACCTAGGAACACATGAATTTCTTTACATCATCCGATCCAGCGGAACGTCTACATTACGGAAAGCATAAGTTTGTTGAGCAATTCCTCTTAATTGAGGAGATATGGTTATTTTCTTAATGTTATGCACTATTCCACATTCAAACCTACCGTACTCTCAAGTTTGCTCAGTAACATATCAACCATTGTGCACCATTCAATCCGGCAGAATCTCTAAATTCAGAAAAAACGTATATTTTGCTGGGCGATTTCGCTATGTTGAGGAGATATAGCTATTTTATTAAAGCTATCTCAACTGCATAGTTTCGTTCTACAATAAGTAAAAAGACAAANAACTACAATAACTATCACCAACAGGAAAGAAGACTATCTTTTCTATGAGGAAACTCATAGAAAACTCATAATCGTTATATTTTCTTCTTTTAACCCAAAAATTAAACTTCTACCAATCCACAGACACTATTAACCTCCTCATTCCAAAATTTATAAGCTATCTCTTCACTGAAAATGCTTCCGTGGAAAATTTCCAATCAATGACCTTCTAAATTCTACACCTGAAATATTAAGTGTAACCATTTTGCTAAATCAGACTTACTGAAACTCTACCTTGCATACTTTCCATTTCCTAAAACAACTCCGTAGCTTTAATATATTGTCCCTTCAACAGATCCCTTTAAAAAAACCTTTTGAGCTCATATACCGATCTAGACGAATCCTTCCTCAAATTCACAAAAATAATTCGAATGAACATATGTACCGAACTCAGTTATTCAATTCTTTTTCCACCATGAAAACTTCAGAAATCCACATCATCCTCACCTTTGGTGAATCCCTTCAAAAAAGAACTGGAAATATTGCACCCGCAAATCACATACTTTCATAGATGATACCTGTTTAAGAGTCAAGCGTTGAAAAGGTTCTTAGGATGAAATTAGATGGGTAGGGAGATAATAATATGCGGATGAAAACATTCAAAAAATGAAACGAAACTTTATTCAACACTCTGCAAAGCAAACAACAAATTCATTAGCTCATTCATTCGATGAATTTGACAAGAGAATTTATAATATAATACATTCACAACTGATTAATTAACAGTTCATTAAAGAGGAGTTTTGTGTGAGTTTCTATGTGAAATATTTTCGAAATTCAAATCGACAACAAATTTGCACATATTTTATATTGTGACAATCAATTTTTCTGTTTTGTTTTTCTTCACAGTAAAAAGGAATCAAGAGAAGAATATCACATTGAAGATAATAATGAAACCGAAATGAAAAGATTCACACGAAAATGTCATTCAATCAACAAAGAATTCAAACAGATGGTAAATAAAATGATTCCAATACAACAAATTATCGTCGCATTGAAATAAAACAATTCAATTCAATCTACAGTTAATAAGCAAGGCTAAAACGTTAAAATGTAAATTTCCCAAAATAAAAAAAANTCAATCAGAATTACCATTACTACCATAAAGCCAAAAATGAGAGAATAAACGAAAAAAAAACGAAGCATTTTTGGAAAACGAATTAAATCTGCGCAGATTTCTTCCAGCTCATTCCCTAAATTAACAACTTTTACTTCACTGCTAATACTAATTTGTGAGTTTATAACGAAATCCACCATATACTCTATTGAGTTGGATCAATCAAAAAAGTCTACAGGTCATCCATGAACACCACCAAAGTCCGTTGTTACAATACGACATTTTTGTTCGAGTAGATCGAAGAAACAATGAATGTGAATTTCTATAAAACGAATTAAATAATTATTCGATAGAGGATGAAAGAAATTCGCGCAATAATCTTTCATTCAATAATTGTGACAATTTGATGGGCAAAAGTTTAAGGAGGGACAGAAGAAGAAAAAGAGAAGACACAAAAACACAAAAACTTTCCCTCTATTCATTACTAACTGGACAGAATATGTTAATATTACACGACTTGACTACTTCACAACGAATTCATACTTAGTATTTTCATTGAAAATAGCCAAAAATAAGAAATAAATGTAAAAATCAATTGTAAGCAATGCGCATCACATAAACGAATTACACCCATCATACGCTCACGCTAACAGCAAAATTTCAACCTATTCAACTGAACAATCAAATTGCATCCCATTTAACATCCTAATGACGAGTACTGCACTGAACTCTTTGAATGCATCACCGTTATGAAGGATCGCTTTCTGTCGAACGAATAATGCCTCTATTAAAATTCTAATGCTTGCATTCCACTCAGATCTTCTCTATATATAATAACTGCCACGAGAATAGATTATAATCCGATTCAAAAACTAAAATTCGAAATCCCGATGAACCGCTAAAAGTACCTAAATTATCACATACCGTCAATATAGCAAGACAACTATCTCACACTGATATCAAACCAAAATTGGAACATAGACTATAAATGTTTAGAGAAATGTGCACCTAAAATCTAACATTCCGAGGTATTGCGAATCATTTATATGCTAACAAAATATGAATGAACCATGATTTTTCATTTAATAACAAATATTACATACGTATGTATATCAATATGAAAATCATGACAATTGAATATTCAATAAAACTATACATTTGAGTGTAAAAACGTTTCTTAGTCTTCTCAATTTCCAATTGAGGAGAAACATTTGCAGATGAAATACCATCTGTTGGCTGCTACAAAATAACTTTGAAACTGATCAATTGACGTTTACTTATCTCGTTTCTAAAACTATCGATTGTCTCCCATCAAATTACCATTGTTACAGTTCTTAGAATGAGTTGAAGCATTAACCAATGACAAAAACCTAGCATTTGGGTAAAAAAATGAGTATTGTTATTGTCATTATTATTACCAACTCGTATGTTATAAGCACTGAACTTCACAACTTATCGAAGAATCACTCATAGTTGAGAATGAAACTCTTCTCCAGTTTCTGGACTACGCCATTTTTTTCGAAACATCAGACGAAAATGTATCACTTGGTCATATCAATATTCCTGATGAAAGAAAACTGCTGAGTTACCGAAAATCCTGAGAGTAATGGCATCTTGAATCTTTTTCGTCTTATTTTCATGAACAGTTAACAGATATCTTTCTCTTTTTTTCAATTGTATTTGATAGATAAATGCGCTTTAAGCGCAGTAATCTACATTTTCAGATAAGGTGAAAAAATTACTTTGGACCGAGTGAAGAGTGAAAATGTTGTGAAACGAAGTATTACAGATAGACATTACAGCACATAGACGAACTCACAGCGAACGCACATCAAGAAAAAGCATCGCATTCCAACTAAACAACAATCAATAAGAGACAATCTTCATTACAATAAAAATTACTTATCAATCGAGAGCACTACACCAAATTGGTACTTGCAATTTGAACTACTAAAAGAACAGTGATTCGTGACTTATCTGATAGTCGATTCTACCTACTTTCCTCTATGTCCATGCTTATAGACCGTTCATTATTTCATGTCAGGCACATAACATCCTTTTTCCTTCGCGAAAATCTTCATGTCTGATATTATAATTTTTAAAAAAATCAAACTCGCAACTAATTACGTTCCTGTTACTCGAATGTCGCGAAAAATTTATTGTTAAACCAAAGTAACTCTTGCAGAACGCTCTCGTTCCACATCTTCTACCTGCTAGCTTCTCGAAGCGAGAAGCATTCTTACAGTTCATTTACACGTGCATTCCTGTCACGAAGGAGGATTGAATAAGATTACCTTAACATTAAGTGTCTGAATGATAAGAAATATCGCTGATGAATAAATTTAGTGTAGTGCTCACCGCGCAAATCATCCACCTTCACAATTCAGTTTTCTCTTTCCTGCAATAGAGTTCTTTCAGTGTTTTCAGCTCTTCGATCAACGCTTTATTTTGATTCTCTAGAACTGCAACCCGATTTTCTAAACATTTCACGTATTCCTTCTTCTTCCGCCTACATTCCTTTGCTGCTTCCCTAAAAATTATTCAATTACTTTTTCAAATAAATGAAAATAATAATAACACTACTTTTATCACAATTGTTTGCATCATCCATCGAATGTGTGACTAGTTCACATGAATTACTCATTACAGCAATAAAGTGATCACTACTTTTATCACCACTGTTCGTATCATTGATCACTACTTTTATAATACTACTTTTATCAGTGATCAAAAAATTCCACTCTAATCAGTTATGCCTACATTCGCAAAGATTAATAATTTTCCGATTAGTCATAATTGTCAGACGAAGTATATGACTTAAATAAACTGCAAAATAATGCAGCATTCAGTTTTATTAGCAGTTTTTTTCAGCTGCTTGAGCAGTTCTATCACAAATATATTGAAAAGATTGGTGCATCTAACTGCTCGAATATTACGGTTGTTTGGCTAAAACCAGATCAACCAAAAAATTAAAGTAACAACTAAAAAAATAATAGTATTCTGACAAGGAACGAAATGCGGCGAAGCACAAAGGTATGTATCGTAAAATATTATTACTTTTATTGAACCATAACCACCAAGCGCCCCATAAAACACGATTCAGTAAGAATAAGAATCAGTTGACTAATATTTCATAAAATGGTTAAAAAGGCGATGATAGCGAGCTAAATTTGAACATTTGCTCCGTTCTTCAATTTACATCATATATTCTCATTTAAGCCGCCATCAGAAGAATATTCCCCTCGATATTCATGAACATTTAATCACCCAATTTTGAGGTTACATTGTAATACTGATAATACATATTCTTATTCGAATGCGCATTTTTTAGAAAGTAAAAATAATCAGTACGAACCGATTTTTGAGCAACCGGACTTGCCTCTTCCGAGTGCTATCATCGTTATCCGCAGCGTTACGACTGGCACTAGCCATTCCTAACGGAGACGGTGACGAATTATAGCCAGACATCATACCCGTCTGCCATTCTCAAATAATAACAACGAACAATTATCGAAATGAAAATGCTTTCAAAATTCCAACTTATCGAAATTTAGTTTCGTAAACACTCAGCTCAGCAAAGGCATTAAAATATGACATGACTGAAAACGTCAAATAATAAAAGTGAATCGTGAATATTATGAATAAATTTCTATATTCACTGACAGTGGAAAAAATCATCATGATTAAATGATTGACTGGAATCAATACCTGGTGACATGCCTTGATTACCAGCTGTAAATGTTGGCGCATCGTTGGTCATCGTTTTAAGACCCAGAACATCTGTATTCAACGGCAGCATTCCACCGACTGAGGCTGATGAAGGGCCCGTTGAGGGTCCCAGTTCCTGAAACTGTTTTCTGCTGATGTACGACTCTGCAATTGCTGCTGCAACAATATCGTACACAATCTCACATCACCTGAATGATTCATCACCTATGTATATTTGCACTGACTGCAATTCATATCACTAATCTCCGGGATTTTAGCCATAATAATAATAATAATGGTAATGCACCTTCCTACTAACTTTACGGACTGACCGGGCCAGATCGGATTGTTATTCTCATTACCGCACAAGAGCGAAACAAGCACTCATCGATCGAGAAAATACAGTGAAAAAAAAGTAAATGAATATGAAAGCAATAAGTGAAAACATACAAAAAATACCTGTTTCGGTGTGGCCGCACCTCTGGAGACCGAAGCAGCAGTAGCAGGATTCGAGGCGGGTGATGGATATTGTCCGATCATAGTGGCTGCCGTAGGTGGTGCTGCTACAGAGGACATGCCAGTTAAAGGATTTAACGATACTTCGCCATTTGATTGAACATTCAAATTGAGTACACCTTTCAATAGATTATTATATATTACATGCTCGATTACGGTACAGGTAATCGCCAACTTATGACAGTTTCACTTACGAAGAAGACTTCCAAAAGAAAAACATCTTTTAACGGAAATTTTATTCAGCAAAACCCTTCCCAGATAATAACAATGACACATTAGTCGTTTAAACTGAGTTAATGGGCGATTTTATCGCAGTGATATCCCTCAACTCGTAAATTGACTAAAATTTTACTGCTCCGGCGAGTCATGATAAGGTTCATCACTCCTAGTCTCAAAATAATGCTATCCTACAGTTCCATAAATCAACCTCAATTGATCTCAACTTATCATATTCTATTGCCTCCACTATTATCTCAGACAAGGATAGCATTTGCAAATCTACAAACAACTATTATTCTATGAAAATAAGCACAAGTAGCAAAAAGGATTCATTCATGAAATAGAGTATCTACTCAACATTTGGATTGAAGTCTTACTCTACAAAAAATAGCAGTTCAGACCAAAGCTTTAGATTGATTCGAGATCTTTAAAAATTTATTAAAAGCGTGCTATGTGTTATTCAACTACAGTTGAAATCGTCAAGTGTTCATATGAAGATATTATCAATGAGCAAACGCATTACAAAAAACACATTTATATATGCTTAACACAGAAGTGTGACCATTTTGCGATAGTTCATAACTGTGATCAGACTTACGACCAAATCTAACTTATGATTCATCGTCGTAAGTTAGCGATTACCTTCATTTAATTGGAGATAATAACAATATACAATATAAAGATTTATATAAAAGTCGATGACACAACTGAATAACAATTGATTACGAAGAAAAACTGATTGGAAGATAGAAGGAAGTACCAGATGGAGGAATGTAAGAAGGCTGTTCGAGACGTGACGGCATATTGCGGTGTTCGTTCATTTGATTCGACAGAATCGTCGCTGAAACGCAAACCGATATCAAAAAGGCGAAGCTATTAAACAGACTTGGAGTGAATTAAATCAAGTAAACGTTATGGTATGACGGATTATTAGTGTTTTGCGCACAGGCATTAAAGACTGAAACACTGTCGTTCTTCGGATATGTGTATANNAAAAAAAACAAAGTATTCAATTATTCATTCTAAACAAAGTCACTGAATGATTCGAGGCTGATTTAAAACATTAATTTGGAACTAATCTCAAAAATATACTTTGAAAAATAAAAGCAGATAAAATTGTAAACTGCAACGATGATAAATTTTTTCTTCTTGATACTTTTTGCTCGTTCAAAAATTAGAACTTAAAATTTGAGTGCGAAGTGGGAGCGGGCTTTTGCTGAAGTGAATGGGAATTGTACCGGCAACCGTACCGGAATCAAAATTAGAGCAAAAATTAGGATACTGTGTCGCAAATGAAGCAGTTCGAACCGTTGTTTCCCAGGTGAAGCTCATGAAAATGAAGAGGGGAATTAAGTTGAAAATACCGTTTGGGGTATTACTTGGCTGTGGCTGTTGTGCGGATATCTGAACAACGATAGGCGTCGCCGACGGTTCGTCAGGATCCTTCTTCAGTTGTTTATCAACCGTTTCCAGATCCTTCAGAATCATTCTGAAATCATCATTTCATCATATTCTAATAACATGCCAGCACCATTTATTCTCGCTCAAAAAACAAACAATTCATCAAATCATTATATTGATGCCACTATTATTTTATCAGTTAGCAACAATACCCGAAAAAGATGTAACAAACCAAAAATATTATCAAAAAATGTATGAAAATCAAAATATCAACAAACGAAAAATGAAAAAAAGAATATCATTTTCAAAAATACTCGAAATGTGAATTAGTGAAAGTTAAAAAATTTTTTGAGTGCTATAGAAGAAAAAAGTGGCTGAATTACTTCGATCTAAAAAAGTCTAAAATATTTATTAAACGAATTTCACTACAAATGCAATCATCTAAACCGAGCGCTTATTCTGCATGGAGAATATTTCTCGATACCTTTATGATGATTCTTCAGTATTTTTACATATTGGTATGTCTAAATCGATCGCTAAATCAATAATCGAGAAAAATTTCATGCACACAGACGATTTTCCACTCTAATGTCATTAATTACAAGGAAAGGCGGATGTTGCATACTCAAGAATGTGATGATATTCGACATTTCAGTGTGTTAGCACAGAGACAAACAGCTACTCAATGGTTGCGATCTATCATCAAATGAACACGGTCTGAATGACGAATCAGTAAAATCATTAATTCCGCGAATCCCAAAGCGCAACTTGATGCATAGATTGCTTACATCAAGATGAACAAAATATCAACAACAACAATAATTCATGATGAAAGAGCTGCTTCAAATGACAAAACGTCAAATGCCCATTGCCGTTCATTATGTACGTATACTTAATCCACTCAACATATCATTACCGATCCAAAGCGTACGTCACACTCAAACATCTGACCATTCATTATGACAATGACAATAATAAAAACAATAGTGACATCAATCTCATCAATGCAACTTCGGTCAAAAACATTCTTAACACGAAATCCTCGCGTCATAGACATTACAAATAAACAACTTGCACAGAAGCATACCTTCATAACATAAATATTACTCCCGCAGAACACGAAAATTGTTGTAAACGAGAACGATTGTAAGCAAGAATAGAGGCAGTGTTATATGATGCAAGTACCTGCATGTTGACGATTCCGATAAATTCCAGCGGGCATTCGAAATGTCAAACAATAAACATATCAAACAGCAATCGAAATGTCAAACAATATCATAATACATCCAATATATTAACCACAGCAGTAATTATAACAATACCGCTTACAACGATAATAATAACACTAGTTACAATAATAATAATAATAATATTATTATTATTATTAATAGCAAAATGGATATNTAGCAAAATGGATATAAGCAAAATGCTTCGTCACGATAAAAATGCAGCCAGTTAAATAGAGCAGGTGATGATGTGTAATCGAAAGCGATACGTAACAAAATTACGTCGTATCGAGCTGATATCATAAAAATAAATAGCATTGCACATTTCTCTGAGTAAGCATTATTCAACTCAAACACCACCATCCGTTCATCAGGAGCAATCTTAGGCATTCAGTTCTTTTTAGTTCACACATACACACAGACCACAAATACTTACACTCACCACATACATACATCATTTCAGAGATAAGCCTCAAGATGCCAGCAAACCCCTTCGATTAAACATTCATTTTATAAAATGTGCAGACGTTACAAACCTCCACTATCATCATCCACCATCCGTACAATTTAAACTTACTCATACATTCTTTTCACTTGATCTTTTCTCTTCTTTTGACACTTGTAACCGTTTCCTTATCTCCAAACTTCACTTTTACACATAACAATGAAAACAATATGATGACAACAAACACGTACATAAATCATGCATTGCTTTCTATTACCATTAATAGTATAGCCGTATCGNNTACCTCCGATTTTCTCGCTATACTGAACAGGCTGTAAGGTGTAACGATTACACGCGAACCCAATTCATCACATTTCTTATCTCAGATTTATTCTTTCGTAAGCTATCAACTACAACCAATGACTGCACCAGTTATTCCCCAAATGCTATCAGCTGCAATCACGTCATATTCGTAACATCCACTTCCTCTTCACACATCCGTTTCCATCGATACCACTAATTCACTCTTCGATAATACCTCTCCTTTCTTCGACATTATTCATCAATTTCTTCCTCAACGCACATTCATTCAACATTATTGCATTTTTCCTCATACACTCAAATTCATTCAACTCTACTTTTTTTCCAAAGAACAACTTCTTGTTTTCTTCAACGCAATTTCATTTTTCGTGCCCACTCACCAGCTTTATTATAGTTTCTTACTCACTAATTATCAACGCAACATCATCACATGCATAACTTTTATTTTTCTTGACGGGAACCCCTTGGGAAGTGTTGACATACGGGTTGCAACACCACCATGTATCGCTAACGGATAAATCTTCGCAGTTTGCATGTAGCTCTAAGCACAAGAACAAGACCAAACATAAGTGGAGACTTGACAAGCTTAAGACAAAGCCCTAATGATCCCTAATTGTAAGCATAAACTTTTCATCTGTTGACATTTTGCTCTCTAGCCTCAGTGGCACCACTCTCGCTTGTTGTTTGAATGCATTCAGTTAGTGCGTGTTCATGCACTGCATAATACATCAAATACAATCCAATAA